TAGCAGGGAGCCCAATGTGGGGCTCGATCCCAGGACCCTGGGATCATGACCTGAGCCGAAGGCAGATGCTTAACGACTGAGCCACCCAGGCGCCCCTGGTGAAAACTTTTAAAGAGGGGGGATCCAAAAACTTGGGAGTCGAGGTAAGTAATATTTTAATGCAATGTTTAAAAAATCGAAATGAATGCAAAAAAACCCCATGATAAACAGAATAACAAATTTTAAAATAAACATGGGACCAGTAGTACTGATTTTTCCTTTTGCCTCAGGCTCCAATACAGCTCTGCACAGCATTTGTTATTAAAATCCCATACCCTTAAAAGGGTCCCTGCAAATTTCACCCTGGTCTGAGGGCCTAGAGGATTGCAAGTATTCAGGAAAATTCCTCCTTCCTGCAGTTAGATCACTTGGGCATCCATTAGCATAAACTGTGCCCCATTATCAGGGGAAGGCGTTCTGTTGTCAGTTTGAGGGAGGGAATGGCAGGAAGGGAGAGAGCTTCAGTGGGAACCAACCACTGAGTGGGGCCTCATGCCTTTGGTCACTGCCTCTGCCCTAGGAATCTGAGACCTGTACCAACAGATAGAGAAGAAAAGCGTCCAGGTGAAGCCAGCCTGCTGGGAAGCCAATCGCCCTAGATGTCCAATGTTGTGAGCCACTTAACAGCATCCAAGTTGAGAGGTCCTGGATGGGAGATGTAGGGAATCAGGCCCCTGGAGGTGGAGTCCATGCCCCAGGGTCTGCCCACCAAAGGAGGCACTAGGAGAGCCCTTCTTGGGTTAAAACCAGCTGTTGACGTAAGTCTTCTACAAAAAGAATTCAGTGCCTCTCCTTGCCCCGCACCCCAAGTGTCCTCTCACCAAAAGAGAGCAAATTCTGCTCCAACCCCCTCTCCTCTCCATTCCTCCAAAGCTGAGAGAAACTGTCTCCATCACATACAGGAACCCTAGCCACTCTAAATACCTTGTTATTCCAACCACTACTAGGTAAATTTCTTTAAGTCTGTGAATTTCACAGGAACTAAGAACAATATATGTCACTTATATCCCCCCTTCCATTCCACCCTCACCTCTGTTAATAAAAAGATCATTGCAACACTTTCAAGGGGGAAAGTGGGGTATTAGGGAGATCATCTGAATAATTCACCCCTCAATTTTTAAAAATGTAATTGTTAGACTTCTTCAGGCAGAAGCTAATGATGAGGACTGAATATCTGGGGTTCCCCCTTCATTCTCACTGCCCTTTGGAAGTAGAGAGGCAGTCCAGAACGCAGACATAAAGCTCTTCCTGAAATGCTTGTTCTCACCCCACCCTCATAAAACACCTTCCCTACACCATTCCCATTGGATCTGCTCTCACCCAGGAATACTTGTCTATACAGGCCGGAAAGAGAAGAGGTCACAATCAAATGCCAGTAGGAAATAAAGTGCTCAGGAAGAATATGTGAAAGAGGGGGTCCCAATGGCCTGGTTTGGCTGTCTTCATGATGACAATTTCTCAGGAAAATTGTTGGACTTGTCACTTTTCTCTGCCTGTGTAGGAATAGGTCAAGGTTTGTTTTTTTTTTAAATCTGAAAAACAAAACAGCTTCACTTTAACAGAGAAGATCCTTTAGGGTAAAAAGAATTTTTTGTACAAGATAATTTTTAAAAAATCTCTCAGTTCTCAACTTTGTTTTACTCTTACAGACATAGCTCTGATTCAGGAGATTGATGATTCCGGGACAAGACTAAAACAAAGAGGGTAAGTAGTGATACCATGAGGTATTTGGTGTTTTTTTGTTTTGTTTTGTTTTTTTAATTTAACATCCTCAGAACATTTTTTCAGGCTTATTTTATTAAACCCAATTTACAAGATGAGGAATCTGAAGCTCAGAGTGGGTAAAATAACTTAAGTGGCAGAGCCAGATTTTAAACCAAGATTTTTCTGACTCAACATAATGAGACAGTAAGTTCTAAAATGGAAATAGGCTATCTGGTACAAAACACCTCCTTTTCCTTGGAGTGCAAAATGAGATAAAGTGGGTTTTGGTTCCTGAATTAACCAGCTAATTGTCCCTGACTTTTTATTTCACTTTCTGGAAATGCTCACAGTTACCTACCCAATTTTGGATCCTCTAAACACCAACTCTAAATTTCCGATGAGGTTTAATCAACACAATCCTTAAAAATTGGTTTTAAAAAGCAGATACCTGGTCTAAACTGGCTATTTTTCTCTATAGGATGCCAAGGATTGATTTGCCAAAGTTTTTAATGGATCTGACCAAAATGTTGGTTGTTTTGGCCCCTTGGGAAAATACCTTTAGTCTTGCCTTCTCAAAAAAGCCCCCTCTCACTGTCTGCTGTCTTGCCTGAAAAGGAATTGGGATCTACAGATACAGAAACATCTGGAAGCTCAGACCTCGAGTTGTGTCTATACTGCCTAAAGTAAGTAGGGGACTTAGTTATTAATTTTACAATCAAGCCTTCCCTAACATCCCTCCAGAGCACATACACACACAAACCACTTCATACCTGGGGACCTAATAGACACCTTTGAGAAGTGAAGAAAAACCAGATCAATGATCAGCTGTAGCCTTCTCTTGGGGTCCTGTGCACAGGTTCCCACTGCCCACTTGCTCTTGACCACCCACTCCTACAACAGGGCTCTGCATTCTGAAGAGGACTTTGTCCAGCTAGAAATCCTAGCTGCTCTTCTCAACCATAATCCAAAGGCTTGTCAGTAGGGACTTCCAGTATGGCCCAAAGAACCCACTATTTCATTCTATTGCTCTCCCCCAATCCTGACTCTGTCTCTCCCTGCCCACCCCCCCACCCCCATGCTCTGATTCTTAGAATTTCTACTGATTCTCTCTTAGAATTTTTGTCTCTCTGTATTAAAAAAAAAAAAAAAAAAAGTGCCTACACTCATCATAGGAAGGAAAAAAAAAAAGGAGCAATGAAACAAGGGTCTGTATAATTGGGGGAAGAAGCCACAACACATCTTGGCCCTAATTATCTGGATCTTTCTGAACAATTGCCTCCATAGCCCACACCAGCCCAGACCGCCATAGCGAGGTTTCTCAGAGCCAGAGGCACTAAAGAGAGACAGTAGTGTTTATGCCCAGATGCTGCCGAACAAACCACAAGTGCATAGACAGAGTTATCTGGAAATCTCACTACTTCTAAAAGATCTCTGTGTGGGTAGAAAGATGCAGGGTGTCTGAAGATAATTTCTTTTTCTTCTGCTTTTTGCCTGGACATCTGCACTCACTGAGATATACCAGCCTGATTCTGTTTCCACACGGGGAGTGTGTGAGCATATCGCTGCTGAGACATAGTGGGTTTTATATCCATTTCCATGCCATAATTTGCAAGTGTATTAAATCTCAATTGGGCTGTATTTTTTTTTATTTCAAAGATATTTTTCTCTAGGAGGTTATGATCAAAAAGTGTTTATTTTTAGCAGGTTTTTTTTTTTCTGGGAATCTTTAAGATGTTCATTTTGCTCAGATATTTCTGAGCTTCTCTCCAATCCTTCACTGCCACCTCACTCTACATGCATTCACAGGGATGCCAAAGCAGCTCCTTCTCTTCACCTCTCCACACTAAACCCATTGCCCATTGCTCTAGACCCATGTCTCTGCCCACAGTGGGTGAGGTGGGCATCTGCTCCCCTTCCTTTCGGCCCCTTAGCATGGCCTACCAGCTCCCCCTGTTCCAGGAATTCCTGCTGGACCCCTGTCTCCTAAGGAGTTTGCCGTTTGGATGAGATGGTGAATTAAAGGGCCATCTGTCTATAGTACATTACTGTATAACTTACATGTGAATTGTCTATCTGCTAGAAATGTATTATCACCTGTTTCATATTAGGTAGTTGATAACATAGATTATATTACATAAAAATATTATTGCCAATTCAGAACAGGTAATACATGATACCATGTACTATAATTCTATCATCCTGGAATCTTCTGGCAGCCAGAAATGGGGTGTCTAGTGTGGGTCCCACCTGGATATCTAGTTGTGTTATACTAAGTAATCTCATATTTGCAAGAATGTTATCTTCTACACTTTCTAACATCATTCAGTGATTTTTTTTTCACCATCTGCCCTTGCCCCAATCCCGGATGCAGAGGAATTTCAGGCCCACCCTTAGGAGGTCTTCAGATCTCTAATTCCCAGTGAAAATGTCCCTGGGCTCACATGTAGAGCTGGGGGGCCCTCTGGATAGTATGGGGAGACATCTGTGGCTTCCATGCCCCCCCCATTCCTGTAGGCATTAGAATGGAGCCAGTCAGCCCTCTCCCACCGAGGTCTGCTTACAGCCAGAGCAGACTCAGGCTTTGGATTCATAATTTCTCAGCGCTGTGCTGAATCCAAAGCTCCTGATGTGATTTTGACAAACCTAGGACTGATCTTTCTCCCATGGGGAATGATGGGGATTTCAGGATCCCCTCTGGTTCAGAAATAGCCTCAGTTGGAAAAGGACATCGGTGAATTCTGCCCCCCCCCCACCATACACAGGCAAAGACTTAGGGGTCCCTAGCCTGGGCCTGGATACCAGATGCATCCAGAACAGGTCTTCAGTCCCTCACTTCCCATCCTCATTCCCCTTTTTCTGTGTTTGAGGCATAGAAAACTCTCTTTCTCCCCGACATCTGGGGGAGTTGGCAGTGGGAACACCCACAGGATTTGAGCTCAGGATACCAGAGAGGCAAAGAAAATTTTATATCCCAGGAGAGGGATGCAAACTCCCTTCTCGCCACATCCTCTCCAGAGATTTTTAGTTCTGCTCCTTTAACGATCGGGAAATTCGTGGCCGAATTCTTAAAATAAATCAAGAAAAGAAAATATTCTGCATTTCTTTGGACCCGGCAAATTAGACCCCTATTCAAAAAACAAAAACAAACATAAAAACCTATCTAGTGCTTGAACGATCTTGAAAATTCAGGCAAGATAGTTCTTATTTTTTTTCCTCAATTATCCGGGGGGGGGGGGTGAGGGTTTTGTCCTGGTGGTTTCGGATTCCAAGGCACCCAAGGCCCACCCCACCCCCATTCCTGGCTGGAAGCGGGCTTCGGGGGGCCAAGAGCCGCGCGTGAGACTGGAGCGGGCTGGGGGAGGAGGAGGCGAGCTCCCGACTCGAGCCGAGCCGGCGGCCCGGCGCTCGGGCGCCTGTGATTGCTTCACTCTCGGCCGGGCAGCTCCGGGGAACGTGTCGGAGCAGATTTCTTCCCCAGCGCATTCCTCAGCGCAGCTCGCCCGGCAGGCTCCATCGGCAGCCCAGCAGAGCCGGCGCGCCGGGGCCAGACGGCGGGGGTGGCTGAGGCGCGGAGCCCCGGGGCAGGCAGGGCGGGGAGGGGTCCCTGGCTGCTGCTGCTGCGGCGGCGGCACTCGGGCCCCTTCCTTACCTGGAAAGGGAGACTTCCAGAGGTGGGCGGACTGCGACTGCTCCTTGGGGCAATACACCTGACTGTCCCAGCCGTTGGAGAGAGCCCAATGCTGGTAGCCTTCGACGGGGATGAGCGCGTCGTGACGCGGCTCCGGGTGCCCGCTGATCCCAGGCACCACCGACACGTCCAGGTAGCCGGGCATCGCCTGGTACGAGCTGGCGAAGCTGGGGTAGAAGGCGAACTCCTTGGCCCTGGAGGACAGGTCGTCACCGGGCAGGGCGCCCGACGGCTCCGGGTATTTATCGCCCGGGTGGTAGGCGCAAGGCTTTTGCTGCAGGTTCACGTTGTGCGACAGGCGGCAGCCGTAGTAGCTGCCACCGAACGGGTAGCCGTAGCCCAGGGTGGCGCTGGACGAGGTGGGGGGCGCCGGCGGCGGGGCGCACTGGCGCGCCGCCTCCGGGGCCGGGATGTCCGTGTAGACGGCGCCCTGTGGGGCGCCCAGGGGAGCCGGCGGGCGGCCCAGCACGGGGTGTGGAAGCAGGTCGCGGCAGTGGCTGGCTGGGCAGCTGCTGCCCAGCCCGTCCATGCTGGGGGCTTTGCCGGGGCTCGCTCCCCTGCAACCCCCCCCCGCGCCGCCCGCGCCGCCGCCTCCCCCGCCGCCGCCTCCGCTGCCGCTCTCCGCCGCGCTGTCCTCATAGACGTACATAAGGCTCTCCGGCCAGCGCGGATGCAAGAGCAGCGAAGTCGTCATGACATGATCTGCTCGAGCTTTTTAAAAACTCCACTTGCCAGAGGCAGCGAGCTAGGGAGACACCTCGCTCCCTTTTCCCCTCCCCCATCCCTCCTCCCTTCCCTCTTCTCTCCTCCCCTCCTCCTCCTGGTGCTTCCACCTCCCTCCCTACATACCCTCTACGCATGCGGGGACACTTCATTAAGAAATCCGGCGTCTCCCGCCCGGCTCCCCTCGGCACTCCTCCCGCGCCCACGTGACGCTGCCAACGCACGTGATTCTGGGGCCCGGTCTCCTGGGGTTCCCACCCCTTGCGGTGGGGCGGGGCAAAAGGAAACAGGTCTCTGATGATTGGCTCTCAGGAGGGGCGAAGAGGAGGGAGCTGGGAGATTTAAAGGAACAGGGCAACGCCCCCCTGGCAGCCCCGAGGGAGGGAGGGAGAGGGAGGAGGGGGGGGCTGAATTTGGCCGACGCAAAGGGGTCTGGAGAGACTAGGACTGTTCCTGGGCGCCTCCCTCTAGGTTTAGGTTTAGATTGGCTATGGGGGAGACTGATCCTTAGCCAAAAAACGATCGCTGTGACTGGATTGGGGTTGGGGCCAAGGGTGGGGGAGAAACTGGATTTTTTAAAATAAATAAACTAGAAAGTAGGCGGAAGCGTGCGGGCAAGGCGTGGGGAGCCCTGGTTCTGGCCCTGGCCTAATCCCCTAGAACTCGCGGATGGAAAGAACCCGAAGCCGCGCACCGAGAGACTTTGATGCCGGGATTGCATTTCCATTTCCGACTTTCAGCCACTTTCTCCAAAGCCCCAGTTGTCTGAGAGGGACCCTTTCGGCTCCTCCACCTCCACCGCAGAGCAGAGAGGGCTGAGAGGATGTGATAGACCCAAAAGACACACACACACACACACACACATCACTACACGGAGGGGGTGGAGTGATGCTCTCAGTGAAAATGGAGAAAGAGTAAAAGGAGGGAAATGAGGGCAATAGGATAGACTGATCTTTCAATGTGCAATAGAAATGAAAAGCCTCAGAGTGAGATTTTCAAAGAAAAGGGCAGGAGGTGGGGGAAGAATTCGGTCTAGGAAAGCTAAAGAGCCCTTGATGTGAACAAGAGCAAGCGCTCTCAGATCGGTGTACAAAAGGAAACGTGGAACCAGAGTCGGCCGATCTGCCCCTTTGGAGGGACCTTTCCCAGGCGCAACTCTGTAAGACCCCAGAAGGACCGACCTAAGCCTGGTGGGCCGCCTCGGCCCTCTGCAGCCTGGGCTGAGCCGGCCTAAGAGGGCCCAGGGGCAGAGCCAGGATCAACACAGTTCTCTAACTTAGGCTTCCACGGCTTTCTTGGGGTCACTCCCTTTTAGTGTGGAGTGTCTGCATGCTTTAAAATTGCCCCATATGTCAAAGAGAAAATTAACACCAATTTACTGATTTTTGAAAAAGTCCCCCTCTTCCTTACCAGTCTCCAGACTTGGGTTTCCTATGCCCAGTGAGGTAATAAAGAGAGAGAGAGAGAAAAAAAAAGGGGGGGGAGAGGGGCTGCAGCATCTCCCTCTTTCCTGTCACTGCCACAGATTTTAAATGCTGGGTGCTCCTGTCCAGACGGCTCACAGGGGGTGGCCATGCAGTAGCCCCAGGCTAGTCCGGACCCACTGAATCCCTCAAACCTGAGAGCAAATGCCAAGTCTTTACTGAGATGCGGCCCCATGGCCACGTCCCTTCTCCCTGTATGGGGAAGGTAGTATTTGATGATGGAGAGCGCCCTGGTGTCAGTGAGTTAGGATAAAAAATGAGCAATCTTTATCAGTGTGATGTTCATCCAGAAGGGTCACCTCAGAGTCTGAAAGCAGGCTTTGGGCTGGGCTGGCAGTAGGAAGAAAATACAAAACATAAGCCGGCTTAGCTTCAAAGTGTGTTGAGGGTGATGATGGTGGTGGAGGGAGAAGAGATGAGCCCGGGGAAGGTGGGGGCTTGCTGGGAGCTGGCTTTTGGCTAGGAAACTGGCTTCCCTGCCTCAGAGTCCAAGGTCAAGGTAGAACAAGGGGAGCAAACAGGGGCTGGCCAGTCTAGACTGGGTCGTGTTGACCTTGGCCCCCGTCTGCCTGCTGCCTGGCTGGTGGGGTAGGTAGTGAGGAGGGCTGAGGTTTTCCAGCCGCAGGTGTAGAGGGGGTGCCGAAGCCCTGGCTTCTCCCACTGTGAAGTGCTGGGTCTGCATGGAGAACCCAGGGCTACGTGGACCGGGCTCTGTGGGGCCGCCGGGAGAAACAAAGGGCCTGAACCGCCCACCCCATTCCTGGGGTTCCCTCCCCCGTCCAGGAATGCTCTAGCCCAACGCCAGACGCGTCTTCCGCGGACCCGAACCCAAAGACACGCTTCCCCCAGCCTTTGGGAGTAGGGGGCAGAACGGCGGGAAGGATCCGGGTGCAGGGCGGCCCAGCAATAAATAAAATTAATAGTATGTTCTTTTCCAGGTTTATGTAAGGACATTAACTATTCCTATTGGAATGAGATATAGATTTAATTAACCCGGCAATTTTACAATTCCATTTATTAGGGGCACGATGCGGCCAAAATTTAGCAACGAGAAGAGAGAGAACCAAAGTCTCCATCAAGAAGACCAGCCAGCGAAGATGTAGGCCCCCCAAGAGACTTGGGGGTGTGGGAAGGCTGGAGAAGGGGAAAGTTCAGGGCTAAGGGAGTTCAAAGCATCTGGAGACGTGACCGCATACTCTGAATGATTCCCGGTTCTTTCGCTGGGCTCCCCAAAACATTCCGCGCCTGAAATCCGCTCCGCGACGGGGGCGCTCCGGGAGCGGGGAGGGAGGCGGCAGTGCAAGAGCCTTCGGGCGCACGGGCGGCGGAAAGTAAAGCCTGCTTGGTTAATTAACTTTAAGCCTGGGGTCGCTTCTCTCTCCTCCCCCGAAAAAATGTGGATCTGGCTGAGACACAGATAAAACCAAATTAAACACTCCAGGAGAATATGCACCCCTGGAAACGTAGTAATTACATCTCCGAGACCATCCCGCCCTAGAAAGCCGCTGAAACCCGTGGCCCGCGCTCGCCCCCCACCGCACACACCTCGCCTGCCACACCTCGCCTGCCGGCTTCGCCGATGGGGCGCTGGAGCTTGACTGCGGAGGAAGTTTAGAGGAAATCAAGAGAAAGGAAAGGAAATGTGACTCCTCGGTCTCTAGCTGAGCTGCTGGTGTGGGAGTGAAGATGCAGCATTTCATTATATCAAAGGAAAATGGAAAATAGCCCCTCAGCCCCATCGGGAAGACCGGGCTCTGCTCTGGGCTCCTTTCTCAAAGGGACACTTGGAACGGCTGGGCTCTGTCCTTAGTTTCCTCTAGGGACTGAGTTCCAGGCTAAGTTCAACTCTGAAATTCTTCTTTTCTAAGTGTCCAACATACAAAGGAGATATTCAGCGTGGGTTCTCACTGTGTGTGTGTGTGTGTGTGTGTGTTCGCTCCTGGCCTGTGGACTTGGGACCGTGTGCAGGCTGCATGCACTGTTCCAGCACATGCCCTTGTGGACACAACCCAATGTGTTCATGAAGATACACAGCTCTCTGCTGACATCCTCTATATGCAAGTAAAGATCTCTGCTGGTCTGTTTATCTCTCTGTATACACACTTGATTTACATACCCATCCTATCTACCTACACATGCCCCAGGAAAATACTAAGAAAATGAAGAGGCAGCTGTCTGAGCCTTTTGAACATGAGGGGTGGAATTCTTGACCCACTGTATTAAAGACAAAGTCAGAGGTGTAAGTTAGCAGTGTCTGCAGGGAAGGGTGCAAGCTTGATGAGCCCGTTTGAGGGCCTGGTGTACCTTAAACATCAGGTTAGAGAGAAGGATGAGAGGAATGAAGTTGGTATGTCCCAGATTCTTCTCTCTGGAAATTAAGCATCAGTTGATTTCCCTTTCTTTTCCCCACAATCTCTTCTGTTTCCTTCAAATTCCCCAGGATTAAAAAAAAAAAAAAAAAAAGCTTGAAGCTCTCAAGCTCCTGCCCCCCCCTTTTTTATGGGAGAAATTCCAGTTTAAAAAAAAAGGAGGGGGTGGGTTGAGGCTGTTGGAGAACAAAGAGCCTCGCCACCATGGGGTCTGGATTCTGGCCCAGACTTGGGGCCTTGGTGGGCAGGCATAGTTTGGGGGGCCCTTTCCTGTCCAGGGCACAGGCTGCAGAGTGGAAAAGGAGATTTGTGGATTACAGAGGACATAGGGCTTGAGCTATCCAGGAAAGAAAGGGATGTTTTGGATTAAGAGGCCACATACAGGAAGGGTTTGGGGGCTCAGGGAAGGCCTAGGGGAGGGCACCCCTGAGAGTGTGTCTGAGTGAGAGAGCCTCCCACACACTCAGGGCAAATTCTTGGTGGGTTGCCAAGGTGACATAGGTGAAGAAGGAAAGAAAAGTGACTGACCCTGGGGCTCCCTGGCCTAGCCCAGTCTCCTCCTCTCCTCTTTCCCTCCCCGTCTCTGGGCTCTGGAAGGTTGGGGATGACCCAAGGAGTCTGGAGACACAGATGCCACCCCAGGCACCTGGATCCTACTGGAACATGCTCTACTTAATTTTCTCCACCCCCACTGCCTGGCATCAAAAAGGGCCACCCAGACCTCTCCTGCCAGCTTGGGAACTCACCTCCTGGGCAGTGGCTGCCATCCTGGCATCTTCTACCTTTATTGTTCTCCCTCCCTGGGCTCCCAGCTTGAGGGAAGATGGGACCAGGATGGCTGAGGCATCACTTTGTTCCTAGTGTCAGAGTTTTCCACTCTCAAACCCAAACTCGTCTTCCTCCAGACCCCATTCACTTCCCTCTTTTAGACATCAGAGAAATCCATTCCCTTCTGCTGCCAACTAGGACTTGTGGTGCTGGCCCAGAGCCTGGGGCACCACATCAAACTTTCCTCTCTAGTTCTGCAGGGATCCACACAGGGGTTCAGGTTCAGGCTGTCAGCACCAACCTTTTCCTGGATTCTCCACCAGCCTGCCCACAATCTCAGACCCTGCCTGGTGGTGCACTGGGTTGGCAGGGAAATCAGCCCCTGCCATGGAGAATTCTCAGGAAGTCTCCTCCAGTGGTTTCTGGGGTCCTTACCCCAGCCCTCTTTCTTCCACTGCTTTCT